GAAAAAAGTATCTCCAAACAGAGAAGATTTAACAGTAGTTTGAAACAGCATCAGATCACCGCAAAGCTGAGCAAAGAGAGAGTCTGAAGTGTGTTTTATATATATAATTAAAATTCATAAACAACTTATTCTTAAATAAAAAAGCCTCCTTTCTCTCGTATTTAATAACGGTCGACCATTTTCTGATTCCCCAAATAAACAACAGTCCTAGAAATGCCACTAGTTAATATATCATTTACATCCTACTTAATCATTTTGACTTTTTTGTTGTTGTTAATAAAAAAGACAGCAATAACTATTTTTAAATTGTAAATTAAAAAATTTAGAGCTGCACATCAACCTAATAGAATTATACAATATATGATGAACTCCACTGACTCTGTAACCTAAAATTCAAGAAGCCAGTAGTGTTTCAAAAACTTTATGTTTCATTAACAAACATACCTGCTCGTATATATGTCACATTTTACACTGTTACCAACTGGAAACTTTGTTTCGAGCAGTTTCGTCTTTATTAGCCCAGCTAGGCCAGATGATAGAAAATATTGTCCAAAGAAGTTAAAAGGTCAGTTGAAAACAGTAGTTTCGAGCAGTTTCGTCTTTATTAGCCCAGCTAGGCCAGATGATAGAAAAATATTGTCCAAAGAAGTTAAAAGGTCAGCTGAGAACAGTAGTTTCGAGCAGTGCCATCTTTATCAGCCCAGCTAGGCCAGATTATAGAGAACATTGTCCTAAGAAGTTAAAAGGTCAGCTGAGAACAGTAGTTTCGAGCAGTGCCATCTTTATCAGCCCAGCTAGGCCAAATTATAGAGAACATTGTCCTAAGAAGTTAAAAGGTCAGCTGAGAACAGTAGTTTCGAGCAGTGCCATCTTTATCAGCCCACCTAGGCCAGATTACAGAGACCCCTGCCAAAGAAGTTAAAGAGTCAGTTGAAAACTTTGAGAACAGTGGTTTCGAGCAGTGCCATCTTTATCAGCCCACCCAGACCAGATTATAGAGAACGTTGTCCAAAGAAGTTAAAAAGTCAGTTGAAAACTTTGAGAGCAGTAGTTTCGAGCAGTGCCATCTTTATCAGCCCACCTAGGCCAGATTACAGAGAACGTTGTCCAAAGAAGTTAAAAAGTCAGTTGAAAACTTTGAGAACAGTAGTTTTGAGCAGTATCATCTTTATCAGCCCACCAAGGCCAGATTACATAGAACGTTGTCCAAAGAAATTAAAAAGTCAGTTGAGAACTGTAGTTTAGCAGCCCAATTTGGCCACATGATAGAGAATTCTGTCTAAAGAGAATAAAAGATAAACATTCCTCTTTATAATATTGTTTGTTTTGAACTGAGTACAAAGCTGAATAATGGGCTATCTGTGTATAACGTGTATCGAAACCCGGTTTCTAGCATTGTAAGTCCGCAGACATACCGCTATGCCACTAGGGGGCTCTTTAAAATAACAACCAAGCTTTGAAAATTATCTATTTTATACTTCTTAAATAAATTACCAAAGATAAACTGGGTGAAGATCCACGAACAAACAATAAATAGCTGTAATACTTTTAATCATAATATGTGTTTGATTTTCAGAATAATAACTCATACGGATTATTGCTTACTGGAAATAGATACATAACGGTTAAAGATAATAAAAGAGAGAACCTACCTCGTCAATTTTTTTCTTAATCAAATTCGGAATCATGCTATATAAAACACCGCCAGATATAGCTAGAACAATTCCCAGAATTCCAAGCGCTGACAAAGCTATTTTCAAAACACTTGAAACCATGCTGTTATCCCCACTTCTTACTACGTCCGTAGCTAAGCCTTCTTCTCTTGTGTTTAAACTGAGAGTCATGACACAAGTACCAAGAACTCATGTTGATCGCTCCAGAAGATCGTTCTACCGGTGGGCGTCATCTATTGAAGATTCTTAGAACTACAAAACTCCGTCAACTAATAAACAAATTAGAACAATCATTATTAGACTTACTGGTGCAGTAAAATGCTTCAAAACTAGTCTGATGAAAGCAGCATTTGGTATAAAAAAAAAGATAAAAACCATCTAATTTTAGTTTTAAAATGATATAAAATAAAGATCAAAACACCTAACATAGGCTTGAAACAATAAAACAACTATAAAAACATTTAAACATGTTTGAAAATGATAAAACAAAGATTAAAAACACCTAATATAGGAGTAGAAATAATAAAACAAAGATAAAAACACCTTATCTTGTTTTTATAATGATAAAACACAGATAGAAATGCCTATTACTGGTTTGAAAGTGATGAGACTTAGATAAAAAAGCCTAACATAGATTCGAAAGTGATAAGAATTAGATAAAAAAGCCTAACATAGATTCGAAAGTGATGACTTAGATAAAAATGTCTAACAATGAAAAAATCGAATTTCCAATGGAAGTTTTTATTTTAGTTTTGACACCAATGAAAATATTTATCTGGGATTTAACAACATTAAAATCGCCTATCCGATAAAAATGGTTGTTCAGGATTTATCTGCTTGTTTTACGACAAAGCCACATTGGGCTATCTGTTGTATCTACTGCGGGAAATTGAACACCGGATTTTAGCATTGTACGTCCGCAAACTTACTGCTGTCCCACCGGAGGACTGTTCAGAATTTAATACCAATATATTCAACTACCCAATGAAAACATTGGGTAAGGGATCTTAGTGTTGTTCAATCCTGGATAAAAATGTTCATTGGGTAAGGGATCTTAGTGTTGTTCAATCCTGGATAAAAATGTTCATTGGGTAAGGGATCTTAGTGTTGTTCAATCCTGGATAAAAATGTTCATTGGGTAAGGGATCTTAATGTTGTTCAATCCTGGATAAAAATTTTCATTGGGTAAGGGATCTTAGTGTTGTTCAATCCTGGATAAAAATTTTCATTGGGTAAGGGATCTTAGTGTTGTTCAATCCTGGATAAACATTTTCATTGGGTAAGGGATCTTAGTGTTGTTCAATCCTGGATAAAAAAAATTTTTTATCCAGGATTGAACAACACTAAGATCCCTTACCCAATGAAAATTGTTATCCAGGGTTTAAAACCCATGAAAGCATATATATATATAGTATATGAACTCTAAGATTATTCTCGCCTTCATTCAAAAAATATATTTATCTGTTTTATTTGCATAAAATGACCTAATTTCTGACCACCTGCTGTAAATAACACGTTATTTATAGTTAATTATAAAGTTTAAGTAGAAATATCTGTTACCAATACTTGGAATATTCTTCTCTTTCATTGCTTTGATTAATTCTAAAACGAAATTTGTTTATTAACATTCTATATTTATAGTATTAACAATAGTGTCGTATTGTTGAATAAACGATGATTAATCTTCCTGTCCACCACTAGTTCAACGTTAAGTTTCTGGACTTAGAATGCTAAATGTCGAGGTTCATTTCTCTGCAACTGATAGATTGCCGGTAGCATCTGTGAAGCTTTACACTTAAAAAAACAAAAACAGTCAATCTTGTCTCCTTGTTCTCTAGCCTGAGTGGCGACCCCCCATAAAATTCCGATTGAATCAGTTATCGTCTTCAACACGAAGCTGGGATTCAACTAGTAACTTGTTTGTGTTCGAATACCAGTTTTTATTTTCATGGAATTGCAATTCATAAAGAGGTTGCTCTAATAGATCGTTGAATAGAAGTCATTTTTTTTTATTGTAATTTATAGCCAAATTGTTCTAGTGGTTCCTTAAACAAAAGTCATATTAAGAAAATAACAGCTATGTTTCATAAATGTCATAATTAAAAGAAAAACTTTGAATATACATACTCTCCAATTTATTCTACAATAAATGGGTTGATAGAGGGCGATAAAAATATTGATGATAAATTATTTCTGGATAAAAATATTTGACTTGATCTGTGCTAATAGAAATAATATTGTTTTCCTCTAAGCTCAGTATAGTTTCGAGATATTAAGTGTACTGGAATATTCTAATAGAGCCTTGAAATTTATTATTTATAGGCCTCTACGATACAAATTATGTTTTTAATTTTATTTCTAGTGAAGATAAAGAAATCTGTAATATAATAATTTGAGTATTTATTGTTTTGTCACGTAATTGACTTTAATGTATTATTGAACGTAAACAATGCTCTGTATTATCTTTGTCACGTAATTAACATCAATGTATTGTTGACGGTGAACAATGTTTTGTATTATTTTTGTCACGTAATCAACATCAATGTATTGTTGACTGTAAACAATACTATGTATTATCTTTGTCACATAATTAACATTAATATATTATTGACCGTAAACAATGCTCTGTATTATCTTTGTCACGTAATTAACATCAATATATTGTTGACCGTAGAAGGAGTAATACTTATTTAAACCTTTCTAAATAATGTCATTGACTTAAAACTTTTGTAAGTGGTAGTACTTATTCAAAACCTTTCTAATGATTGTCATTTTTTCAGAATTTCTGTAAAGAGTAGTATCTACTTAAATAGTAGTATCGACTTGTAAATTATGTAAAGAGTAATATCGTTTTAAAACTGTGTAAATAGTATTATCAATTTATAAACTGTGTAAATAGTATAACCAACTTAAAAATTAGTAAAAAAGAAATATCGATTTGAAACTTGTGTAAATATTATGAATGTAGAATATCTGTAAAAAAGAGATTAAGTGCTGAATTAAAAGTTTTGTATAGTGCACTTACTATCAATTTTAGACTTTCTATAGATTTTTAATATTTTGAATGTGGACAATTAAATCAAGTATATTACTATCAAAGAGTTATAATTCGTATACTTTTTAAACGTTTCATAAAACAATATTACTTACATTACATAATACAATTAATTACACAGTGAAAAATATGCTTAGCAAGTGCACTGTTTCCCAGGATAAACAAATTCGTCCCGGATACGTTACAGTTAGATTTTAAGCAACAGATGAATTATGTCTCAATCGTCTCATGAAGTAAAATTGTTTAAAATTGATAGCAGACGAGGCGAATGTGAAAAAGTTTTGCGACAGAACATTTAAAATTTTTTGTACGAACATCTGGCGATTTTCTATTGAGGCAAGAAAGATAAGGCTTAGCGAGACGCTTATAGTCGTCTGTAGCGTGTTTATGAGATTAACGTTTTATCAAATAAGTCACTTTAAGTTTTCGTATAAATATTGCATATTTAATACTAAGGTTCAAAATACCTTGAAGTTTATTTTAATGTAACTGAACCAACAAAATTAATTTTGTTGATTAGTAGTGTTAATTAGATAGTATCAAACTTTGAATTTTTTCATTTCGATTAATAGATCCATGAAGAACAACTACTGACCAGAATGACGTCATATTCACTTACCGTTTTGCAGAATAATCCTAAAATGCCCTATGTTTACCTAAGCCATATATATAAACAAAATGTTAGGGGCAGAAACTCAAAATTTTATTTTATTATTGTAGTTCATAGATCCTACATAGTACTAGATGCTCAAGTATAGGCTTTCTTTTAATTCTAATTGTGAAGCGGATTTTTCACACCTTAATGTTGACTCGTCCATACTTTTAACCTCTGTAATGCACAGAAGAAAACAAATGTTATAAATTGAATAACTATTAGCTTCATTGTCATGGTTAGTTGCCATGAAAACGATTGACATCTGATCACCATAACCTTACCTTAAGTAGCTACCTAATACTTTGTATTGCGAACTACATTTCACCAGTATTACTGTAATGTTACACTTACACTTTAACCCTGTGTGAAATAAGAATTTAAAATGAAGATTTCTGTCGCATTCTTTCATTTGATAACTTCACACTTTAACAAAGGTCAAGTGGATCTCTAACGAGTGAGTGAAGAAACGACCACAGAGTGAACCCAATAAAGATATTTTTTTAAAATCTAAGACATATCAATATTTCACACTGGCTCAAGTATTAAGTTATAAATATATATGTATTCTTAGAACAAATCTTAAATCGTTAAAAATGTATACGAATTTGGGTATATTTTCTTCGTTATTATTATTATTGCGAAATTTATTTTATTTCAATAAACCTACTTAAGTTTAGAACTTTGCCTGTGTCTTCTATAGTCTTTTCTACATAATTTGAATTTCAAATGAAATATGATAATAAAATTTTACAATTTAATTATTCTGCACTTAAATAAATAAATATCAGAATTACATCCACCTACAAACACATCATTTAATCCTAAGCCTTATTATATCATACTGTACGTTGCTTCATGAGAGGTTTGTACTCTCTAATCTCACTAACTTAAATGAATAGAATAATTTATGAGTTCATATTTTATCCTCGCACTTAGGTTTCAATTAATATATTTTGGCCTATTCTACAAAATTTCGTAGATTTAAAGCATTAATCCTACTAATTTACGGTAACGATGTATTGCGTTAACATAAAATTTGAATTAAAGTTAATACTTTCTTGCTGTTGTTTTATTTGCTTTCTTATATTTAAGTTTCATTCTAATTTATTAACATACATCGGTAAGAGATGGTGGCCCTAAACCTTGTTTTAATATTTATTGGGTTTTGAGTGTAAGATGTTTTATTTTCTGATCCTTAATAGACCTAACCGGTTCAACAGTAATAGATAGGACGTTATAAAACTACTGAGATCTCATATAAGGAATCAAGGGTATAAAAAAAATCAACACATTTACTGTGGAAGGATTATGGGGCATTAGATACTCATCATGCCACGTCAGAACTTAAAAGTCTAAGTTTATATGAATAGGTACTGAAATTAGAACTACTACTAATCATAGGCGTAATATTACCTCATAATTTTATTATTAAGCCTACTGTACATCTTACGTTTCTGGTTT